AACGGATAGGGAGACCTCCCCCAGCGCACCCCCCTGTGCGTCGAGGAAGAGCCAAGCCTGCCGCGCCCTGCGCGCCTGCAACGGATAGGGAGACCACCCCCAGCACACCCCCTGTGGTGCCGAGGAAGTGCTAAGCTTGCCACGCCTTGCGCGCCTGCAACGGTTAGGGAGACCCCCCCCAGCGCACCCCTTCTGGCGTCGAGGAAATGCAACGCTTGCCACGCCCTGCGAGCCTGGTTATGCATACGTCTTGGGTGTATGATGCAGTGAATACGCCAGGCGTGCATTGGCGTTGTATGTGTGTATGCGAGTGTGTGTGTGTGTGCATGCGTGGGGCTGTATGGACACGCGTGTCTCATGTACATGCCGTGCATGTGTTGCGCGTGGGTGAGGGAGGAAGGAGGAGGAGGGGAGGTGAGTGAGACGCGGGTGCGAAGTGGGTTGGAAGAAAACCATCAGGTATAGCCAGGACCCCAGGTAAGGGGACCCGGTTAGTGGTAGGGCCCCGGGGCTTTTGAATTGGCCAGAATCACTAAACCAGGTCTGCCGTAGCTGGTGTTTTTCGGGTGACGGCAGTTCCGGTTAGTGGAACGGGGCGGGGGGGCCTCCCCCAGTACACATCACTAAACCAGGTTCCATTGAACCCAGTTCTGCCAACGCCCGAAACAAGAACCCCTAAGCTTGCGGGGACAAAAAACATTCAATGTTATCACTCTCGCCTTTTCGCATTAGCATCGTCCAGTACGGCTGAAGGGGCCCCAAGACGGCCGACGAGGCTTTCAAAGAGGCCCTAAGACGGCCAAAGAGAGACCGAAAACAACCCAAAACGCGGCCCACATGGCCAATGAGGCCCCAAGAGGGACCCCTGATGAGGAGATTCAACTCAAATGTCGAGCCCCCGCCCCAAGAGAACCCCCCGAGACCGCCCGCAGGTCCTTCAGAAGACCCCCAGGGGCCCCCTGAGGCCCCCAAGAAGCCAAAGAAGGGTCTTCAGCCGGCCTCCAGTTACGTAGCCGTTCATGGGAGGTTGTTACGAGGCGAAATACTCAACCTTTTTTTAAGAATTGGTTCCCTTTTGGTTCCCTCTGGTTCCTTTTCCGTCCTCCTCCCTTTTGGGGGCCTCCTGGAGTCCAGGAGGCCCCCAAAAGGTTTCCCCAGAGACCTCAACCAGCCTCGAAGAGGCCACGCGTCCACAGCCTACACGATGTTCCCAGGCAAGGCAGGCTCCCCGGGGATCTCCAGGTCGGACCTCGAGGCCGCCCTCGAGACACCAATACGCGTCACAGATGTCCCCAACTGGCTCCTCCTCCTCCTCCTCCTCCTCCTCCTCATCCTCCCCCTCCTCCTCCTCCTCCTCCTCCGCCTCCTCCTCCTCCTCCTCCTCCTCCTCCTCCTCCTCCTCCTCCTCCTCCTCCTCCTCAGGGGCCCACAGAACCCTCTCAGAGGCCGCGCGCCTACGCCCTAAAATGTCGTTCCCAGAGCGGCTTCCAAGGGGGCATCGCGTTCGAGCTGGAGGCCTCCCTCGAGGTCCCGATGAGCGCCACACGGGCCCCACGTACACGTCCTCGGCGGTGCTCCGGGAAAAGGCTCCTGGGAATCTCGGTTCGGACTCGGGCCTATCACAGCCCTCCTTGAAAGAACCCCTCCTTCCAAGCTCCCTCTTCATAGGCCCCATGCAACGGTTCATGTTCATTGAGGTAGCTGCCTCGTTGGAAGACAACCGCCTGAAGACCCTGAAGCACGCCAAAACATTTGTTCTCGGGATTCCAACGCCACAGATCAGCCTGACTGTTGCGTCTTGCGGATCCTGAATCGTGCCAGAACGCCATTCCTGGAATTTCAACACAGCGAATCATCGTATCTGTTGCACCCGCATAATCCTGAATCTCTTCAAAGCATTATTTCTGGTACGTTGATGATGGGAATCCGTGAAACCCTTGCAAATTTCGTAAACGAATGTGCGCGCGGCGCTAAGACGAGAGCCACATGTTTGAAAGGAGCCGCCCTCAACGTGTGAAACTCTTGAAATTCGTTTAAAACGAATGTGCGCCGCGCTTAGACGAGAGCCACATGTTGAAAACCACACGCTCTCAATCCGTGAAGATCTCGCAAGTCGTTAGAACGAATGTGCGCCGCGCTGAGGCGAGAGCCACATTTTGAAAACCACCCACCCTCACTCCGTTAAACTTTTGCAATTGTTTGATACGAATGTGCCGCGCTTAGGCGAGAGCCACATTGTGAAAACGATCCGCCCTCCATCTGCGAAGCTGTTGCCAATTTCCAAGCGTAAGAGTCATACATAGTGCGGAAGTCTCAGGCGAAACGCCCGGCCCGCCCTAAAAACTGGCCTCGGGGTGCGACAGGGTGAAGGTATCTATAAAGAAAAGGAAAGGAGGATGAGGAGGAGGAGGAGGAGGAGGAGGAGGAGGAGCAGGAGCAGGAGGAGGAGAAAGAGAAAGAGGAGGAGGAGGTGGAGCAGAAGGAGCAGGAGGAGGAGGAGGAGGAGGAGGAGGAGGAGGAGCAGGAGGATTCACATCAGGAAGGGGAAGAAGCACTCGTACGGGGACGGGGGTGCCGAGTGTTTGCGTAAGAAGGGAGGGGCAGGAAGGACGCAAAGGACGAAGGACAGGGGGAGGATGACGAGGAGCAGGACGGGGAGGGAGGGAGGGAGGAAGTGGCAGCGGGCGAGCCCCTGGGGCGTGCAAGGTTGAAGCCGTGGTGCCCCGAGGCGCCCCCCCGGCCGCGAGGCGCGGTCAACGGGGGATACCCGGAGGGTGCTCGAGGTTGAAGCCCGAGGCGCCCCCCCGGCCGCCAGGCGCGGTCGAGGCGCAGGCGCGGGTGGCGCTCAAGGTTGAAGCCGTAGTGTACTGGACGTCCTCCTCCTCCTCCTCCTCCTCCTCCTCCTCCTCCTCCTCCTCCTCCTCCTCCCTCGGCGCCACTCTCCTCCTCCTCCCTCGGCGCCTCTGCTCCTCCTCCTCCTCCTCCTCCTGCTCCTGCTCCTGCTCGTGCTCCTCCTCCCCCTAGGCCGCGGGGCGCGGTCAAGGGGTGGGTCCCTGGGGGGGGCGCTCCAGGTTGAAGCCGTCAGTGTCCTGGACGCCGCCCCCGCCGCGGGCCTCTGCGCGGGAGCGGGGCCGGCAAGAATGGCTGGGCCGTGCGCGCTGGCAGCGGCCCATGTCCACGGCCTGGAAGTGTAGCTCTCCCTGTCGCCTCAGCCACGCTCCCAGCTCGAGGGGGAAAGCAGGGGGAAGTGGTCCCGCTTCGGCGCGAGCCATGTTCCTGGCCCGAATTGGCGTTTTTGCTTTCGCGTGGGCTGCGTTCCTGTGCCCGCCTAGCTGCTGGCCGTACTCCAGCCCACATATAGAGTTCTCGCTTCATCGCCAGCCGCATTACCAGCCTGGACTGGCGCTCCCACCCAGACGATGGTTTCACCACCACTCCAGAAGGTTTGCCGGGTAGTCATCGAGGCGGTCTAGGGTTTCTTTTGGGGTCAGTGGGGCTCTGTTGGGTTCCTCCCTGGCCTCGGTCGGGCGCTCTCGGGCGAGTTACTCTCCTGATGTCCAGTCGGAGCGAAGGCGACAACGTCACTGCCACCTGCAAGTCAGACGACACTTCGCGCTTGCGCATAAGAGCGAGGGGGGAGGAGGAGGAGGAGGAGGAGGAGGAGGAGGAGGAGGAGGAGGAGGAGGAGGAGGAGGAGGAGGAGGAGGGGGAGGAGGAGGAGGAGGAGGACGAGGACGAGGGGGGAGCAGGGCGGTGCGTGCCCCCCAACACCTGGCCCGGAGTGGCCGCCCCCACGTGCAGCCTCCGAGGTGTAGCGCCCGCCCGTGGCCCCCCAAGCTTGCCCCCGGAGGTTGTGTGTACGTGGTGGGGGGTCGCATGCGCACCTGTGGTCAGTGCTTCTACAGTCGGGGCGCTAAACACGGAACCCTTTTCGTTGGGGAGGGGCTCGGTGTTCCTTGATTGTTTCGCAGCTTGCCTTTGGTTTTCCTTGGGTTTTCCGTGGGAAATCGAAGTTTAATGTATGGGAAAAGGGGGCCTCGTTCCTTATTCAGGGTTCCTTAGGTCAACGCTCCGAATGTACACGCGCATGCGTGCTTTCTAACCCGTGCGTTTCCTCAAAGGCGTCGTGGATTGCGCGTTTGAAGTCAGAGGCTGACTAGCACCTAAGCGCGTACACGCGCATGCGCGCTTTCTAACCCGTTCGCTTCATCAAAGGTGTCGTGGATTTCGCATCTGAAGTCAGAGGCTGACCAGAACCTGAGCGCGCGAAGCGCGTGCGTGGCTCCAGTTATGAGATGACCTGCGATGCACCGTGTGACGTTACCACGTTGCTTTCGACTGCGTGCACACCCCAAACCTCTGAGGAACAGCTGCGCAGATCACAGAGGAGCCTCCCCCTTTGCGTGCTGGCCAGGCCTTCTTCAACAGCTTCCAGGGGGCAGGCCCAGCTTCTAGAGGAGCCTGCAGTCCACGAGGACGCCGACTCGAGGCTGGCCCAGCCGTCGCCCGAGCACTTGCACGTCAGGTCACAGCCAAACGAACGAGACAACGTTGAAGCCGCGCCGCGGGGAGCTTGCCCCTGCCCTCCGGAGCGGAGGCCAGCGCCTCGATTCTGCACGGGCGGGGCGGCACCCGGCCAAGAGCCCAGCGCGCCCGTCACCTTTGCAGGCGCCGCGCCACGGGGAGCAACCAGCGCGCCCCTCAACTTTGCAGAGGCCGCTCTTTTCGGTAGCTGCGTCTCGAGCTCTTGCGGGCCTCGGCTTCACTTGATTGTGCCCGCCGCTCTCTCAATATACCCTTTCCCTGCTGGTTCGTCCTTTGGGGAGCCTAGCCTGCAGCAGTCCACAGCAAAAAAAACTGTGCAGAGGCCGCTCAGCGCGGACGCATCGTCAAAAGCCACCCGGCGTCGTCGCATCAAGTGCGACAAGACTCGCAGTAGGTGCGCGAGAGCTGGCCCAGACCTCTGCGGCCATTGCGTGCGCAGTCGTGCTTTTGCTGTCAGCCATTTTGCATCGAGGTCTGCAGAGTGTCCTGCTCCGCCTTCTGCCCCGACTCTGGCGCTGCTGGCCCCACGTAAGGTCATCGAGGTCCGACCACTCTGACCGCATGTCTGCCATCCAAACTCCGATGGGCGCGGTCCCTGTCGCGCAGGTGATGCAGCTCTTTGAGCAGACTGGCTTCGAGCCGCCGCCCGGTGTGCCGCTGGAGGAGGCGTTCATGGTCTTCCTAGAAGAGATGAGACAGTCGGGGATGTTGCGAGAACCGCCGGCACCGAGGGCGCCGAAGGGACGCACTGCCGTCCCCTGCAGCATCGAAAGGGTTCCCGAGGTTCTCGGCGCGCACGGCGCGTCCGTGGTCCTCCTGGAGCCCTTGGGTGCGGAGGTCCGGGGCGTCGACACGACGAAGGCTCTGCACCCAGAGCTGGCGGGTGCCCTGGAGGCCCAGATGGCACACGCGGGCTTCCTTCTCTTCCGCAGCCAGGGCGATCAGCAGAGCGAGAAGGGCATCCGGGGGAAGTACCTCACCGGGGAGCAGCAGGTCGCGCTCACCGAGGCCTTTGGGCCCGGGGCCCTGCACTCCACGCACGGGGTGCACCCCGAGAGCCCCAACCGCGACGTCTTCCGCTTGTCGAACGACCAGAACCACGGCTTCAACCAGGTCGGTCCTGAGTGGCACAACGACGGCTCCTTCTGCAGGGAAGTCTTTGGCCACGTCGTCTACCACATCATCAAGGCACCCGCGGGCCCAGGAGACACCCGCTTCGCACACCTTGGCGTGGCTTACGACCTGCTGCCGCCCGACGACCAAGCCAGATACAGCCAGTGCGCCAGCGTGAACTCCAACGGCGGAGTTGTGCACCCTCTTGTCCACGACCATCCGATCTCGGGTCGGCGGTCGCTGTACCTGCACACGGGCATGACCGGTGCCATCATCGAGCGCTGTGAGGGGCCTGCTGACCCGAAGTCGCTCCAGGGGATCAAGGCCTGGGAGGAGCCCGACATGGACCGCCTGTTCCAGCAGTTCACCGCGCTGCTCGACCGGGCCGACGTGAGCTACAGCCACCAGTGGCAGGAGGGCGACGTGATCATCATCGACAACCTCGCGGTGGCCCACAAGGCAGACCCCCGACGCCGTGATTTTCCCACGACGTCGAGCCCCAGAGGTCTGGACCCTCTCCCCGGGACCGGCCTCTCGTCCCGAGCCGTTTTTTCACGCTCCCGAGGCCCGGCGAGGGCCCCCAGGGGCCGAAATCTGTGCAAAACCTCCCGTCGTGATTTCTTCACGACGCGAGGGGGTCTGGGTGAAGGCCGCGCCCGGCGCCCACCTCGCCTCCTCCGGCCTCCGGATCCTGCACCGCACCACCGCCAAGGGGAGCCGGCCGCTGGACCCGGACCCGGCCCTGGGGCTGCCCCTGGAGCTGGACACCAGCCCGGAGGAGGGCCCCTCGAGCCGCCGGCGGCCCCCTCCCGCCCGGCCCGAGCCCTCTCAGAACCGGCCCCCTCGGCCCCTACTATTATTATTCTCGTTCTTCATCGTATTATTATTTCTATTACTACTACTACTACTACTACTACTACTACTACTACTACTACTACTACTTCTACTACTATTGCTATTACTATTACTATTACTATTACTATTACTATTACTATTATTATTATTATTATTAGTACGACTATTACTATTACTATTATTATTACGATTACTATTACTATTACTATTAATATTACTATTACTATTACTATTACTATTACTACTACTACTACTACTACTACTACTACTACTACTACTACTACTACTACTACTACTACTACTACTACTACTACTACTATTATTACTATTACTATTACTATTATTATTACTATTACGATTACTATTACGATTACTAATACTATTACTAATACTATTATTATTACTATTACTAATTCTAATACTATTAGTATTACTATTACTATTATTATGATTATTACTATTACTATTACTTTACTAGTACTAGTACCAGTACTATTACTAATACTAATACTAATACTAATACTAATACTAATACTAATACGAATACGAATACGAATACGAATAGCAATAGCAATACGAATACTAATACGAATACGAATACTAATACTAATACTATTCTTATTATTATTATTATTAGTAGTAGTAGTAGTAGTAGTAGTAATAGTAGTAGTAGTAGTAGTAGTAGTAGTAGTAGTAGTAGTAGTAGTAGTAGTAGTAGTAGTAGTAGTAGTAGTAGTAGTAGTAGTACTTACCCGTTACGAAAGTTATTCATCTTGAGCACTGACGACTAGGGCGTCTCCGAGTGGCCCCCCCGTCCCCCCGTAGACTCCTAGCACGGCAGTCTTCGGCCTGGCTTGGCGGGAGAGATTTCTGGGGTTCCCCTTGGTAGCATTAATAGTATATAACAAATTCAGGGTAAAATCTCTCCCCCGTAAATTTACAAGGGAGAAATCACTCCCGGTCACTTCCAGGCATCTCTGAATCTCTCCCCGTATGAAACCGCAAGGAAGAATCACTCCCATACCGCTTCTCACCACAGCGCCCACACATGTCAATTTTAGCCAAGATGAATTAACTTTCTTAACGGGGATGTATTCCCCCTCCTCTTCCTCCTCCTCATCCTCCTCCCTCCTCCTCCCTCCTCCTCCTCCCTCCTCCTCCCTCCTTCTCCTCCTCCTCCTGCTCCTCCTCCTCCTGCTCCTCCTTTTCCTCCTCTTCCTCCTGCGGGCCCCCTCCGACGGGGGCGCGGAGAAGGCCAGGGTGATATAGGGATGGGGCCGTCGCGGCCTCGACGTCGGCCCTCCTCCGGCGCCAGCGCGCCCTGCCCGGCCGCCCTCTGGGGGCGGCGGCACCCGGTGTGGGTCGAGGGCTACGTCTGGGGGGGCAAAGAGTGGCCTAAGCACAAAAACTCGGGAGGTCCGCGCGGGTTTCTCGGATCGGCGCCGGGGCCCCCCTCCCTGGCGCGCGGAGCGCGCCAGGGAGGCGCGCGCCGGAGGCGCCGCGAAGGGGGGGGCCAGCGCCGACCCGAGAAGCCCGCGCGGAGCCCGCGCGGACCTCCGAGAAGCCCGCGCGGACCTCCGCGCGGACCTCCGAGTTTGTATGTTTGTGCCACTTTTTGTTCCCCATAACGTCGGCTTCCGCTGGGGCGACCACCAGTCGCGGACGGTGCCCCACTGAGGCTGCGCGGGCACGCAGCAGGCGGAGGGGGGGAGGAGAGGAGGAGAGGAGGAGGAGGAGGAGGAGGAGGGAGGAGGAGGAGTGAGGGGGAGGGGGAGGAGAGGAGGAGGAGGAGGAGAGAGGAGGAGGGAGGGAGGAGGAGGAGGAGGAGGAGGAGGGGGAGGATGGGGGTCCGCAGCTCCAGGGCCGCACACCGAAAGCAGTCGCGTCGTCGGCAGCTTGGGCCCCTCGCCCTCCCCGTGCCTGGCCCCTCGGACCCCCCGGCCCGCCCGCCCGCCTGCCTATAGGCCCGCCCCCCTCGTCCCGCAAGGCTCCGGACCTCCCGCCACCCCAGACCCCCTCGAGTTCTGAAAAAATCACGACGGAAGGTTTTTCATTGTTTTTGGCCTTTGTGGGCCCTTACCGGCCCTCGGGACCGTCAAAAAACGACCCGGGACGAAAAACCGGTTTCTGGGGAATGGGTCGAGACCTCGGGGGGTCGACGTCATGACGTCGGGGGTCTGGGACCTGCGCGTCCGGCGTCGCTTGCCTGCTCTTCAGTCCGAGGTTGATGGACCTCCCACCCTGGCACGTCGATTCGGGAACTGGCCGTGTTCGGCCCGCGAGAGGGCGCCGCGGCCGCCATTTCTGCGGGTCCAGGCCCGTCGGTCCCAGTCTCAGGCCGTTTTCACTAAGGGGAGGTTTACTAAAGTCGGGCCGGACGAAAGGGGGGGATTGGGAAAGGGGGGGTTACGAAATTTGCTGCATGCAGCTGGTTTCGGCCTCACCGAGGGGCCCATTCCTCGATACATAGCCGCCTTCCGCGCCGGGAGGCGCCGGGAAAATCAGCTACGTGAGCTGAAGCCGCCTCCGGCGCCGGGAGGCGCCGGGAAAATCAGCTGCGTGAGCTGATTCTCAAACCCCCCCTCTGCTATCCCCCCCTTTCGCCCGACCCGACAAAGGGAGGCTTGTCCACCGCCGATCTTCAGGGGCAGCGTTGGGACGGGGGCTCAGAGCCCAGACCCCCGACATGATTTTTTCATGACGTCGACCCCCCGAGGTCTCGACCCATTCCCCGGGACCGGTTTCTCGTCCTGAGTCGTTTCCGTCGTGATTTTCTCATAACTCGAGGGGGCTCGGAGGGGGGATGGGCCCGAGCGTGCCCTCTCGCTGGGCGGCGCCCGAGCGCGCCGCCGCTCCCGCGGGCGGGGCCGCCTCCTCGGCGGCAGCCGCCTCGCCCGTCCTGGTGCTGGATGCCGCGGCCTGGCCGCTGGCCGCCGCGGCGCTCTCTTCGGGGCAGGGGCAGCGTTAGGGGAGGGGGGGGGATAGGCTCCTCCTCCTCCTCCTCCTCCTCCTCCTCCTCCTCCTCCCTCCTCCTCCTCCTCCTCCTCCTCCTCCTCCTCGGAGGGGGGGCCTGTCTCAGAGCCCCGAATCATCAGGGGCAACTCTGGTCAGGGCTAAAACTCGGGCTCGTTGTTCGGGAGCCCGAGCCCGAATTGCCCCGGGCCCGAGCTACCCCGGATAACTCGGGCGTCTCAGAGCCCCGAATCATCAGGGGTGACTCTGGTCAGGGCCAACTCGGGCTCGTTTTTCGGGAGCCCGAGCCCGAATTGCCCCGGGCCCGAGTTACCCCGGATAACTCGGGCGTCTCAGAGCCCCAAATCATCAGGGATAGTTCGGGTCAGGGCTAACTCGGGTTCGTTTTTCGGGAACCCGAGCCCGAATTGCCCCGGGCCCGAGTTACCCCGGATAACTCGGGCGTCCAGAGCCCCAAATCATCAGGGATAATTCGGGTCAGGGCTAACTCGGGTTCGTTTTTCGGGAATCCAAACCCGAGTTACCCCAGGCCCGAGTTACCCCGGATAACTCGGGCGCCCAATTGTCCCTCTACAGGGGGAGTATGAACAAATAGCCACAAATAGACTCAGGGGGCTATGTTTTGACGATGCTCGTTGGGAAAAGGGGCTCGGTGTTCCTGGACTGTGCCAGAGTTTGCCTCAGGTTTTCCTGGGTTGTCGATGGGAAGTCGAGGTTGAACTTCTGGAGAAAAGGGGCCCCGTTCCTTACTCTGGGTTCCTTAGGTCAACGCCCCGACGGTAGGGGCAACGTTAGGGGGGGAGAGGCTCGGGGGAGGGGACGGGCTTAAGTCGGGCCTGTCCCTCCCTCTACAGGGGGGAGTGTTCAAAAATGATCAAAAATATACTCTGGGGAGTTTTGTTTTACTATTTCTAAGCATTTGGGGAGTATTTTTTGGGTCTCTTCAATTTGTCGCCCAAAATCCCCCTGTAGGGGGACACGCCCGACCTCAGTGCGCTGAAGAAGGAACCCTTCTCGTTGGGGAGGGGCTCGGTGCTCCTTGACTGTTTCACAGTTTGCCTCAGGTTTTCCTTGGTTTTCGATAGGAAGTCGAAGTTTAACTCAAAAGGGGCCCCGTTCCTCAGTTTGGGTTCCTTAGGTCAACGCCCCGACGGCAGGGGCAACGTTAGGGGGGGGGGGGGATGGGCTCGGGGGGGGACGGGCGTAAGTCGGGCCTGTCCCTCTACAGGGGGAGTATTCAGAAATAGTCAAAGACATACTCGGGAGACTATTTTTGGACTATGTTTGAGCATTTGGAGAATCTTTTGGGGGTGTTTCTCTTCCAAGGCGTTCCTTTTCCTGTGCAAGCTCCTCAGCACCGCCTGCACCCCGCGCCCTCCGGCCGCCTGAGGGCCCGCCCGCCTGTGCTCTGTCTCCCCTGTTAGTGCTTTGCGCGGCCCGCCTAGCTCTTAACCGGAAGAGGCTCGCTCTCGACCCGCGGACCAAACAGTTTTTCATTTTTCGCCCAAAATCCCCCTGTTGGGGGACACGCCCGACCTGAGGATAGGCTCGGGGGGGGGGACGGGCCTCGGCCCCCGATCGCACCCGCTCGTCGCCGAGGCGGCCCCGGTAATCGGCCCCCCCCCCGCCCAGGAGCGTGCGGATTCGCCACCGGGGGGGGCCCACCTCCCATCTGCACCAGCGACGTCACCGCGATTTTCAGCCCGACGCCCCGCCCACCCCCTCGAGCCGGCCCCCCTCCCCTCCGCCGCTCCCTCTCGCCCTTCCTCCCTCCCCCCTCCTCTGGCCACAAGGGGGCCCACCTCCAGTCTGCACCGGGAGCCTTTTGGGACGGGGGTCAACGCAAACGGGGGTCGGCCAGAGCGCCCCGACCGTGCAGGGTCCTGCAGGGCTAGGGTCGCACTGGCCCGGGCTTGGGCGCAGGATCCTGCAGGATCTTGCAGGGTCCTTCGCGTTGACCCGGGCTTGGGCGCAGGACTTTGCAGGATTCTGCAAGGCCTGACTGACCCGGGTCTGGATGGACCCGGGTCAGAGGACCCCCGACTGCATCGGCGACGTCCCCGCGAGTCCAGCCCGACGCCCCGCCCACACCCTCGAGCCGGCCCCCCTCCCCTCCGCCGCTCCCTCTCGCCCTTCCTCCCTCCCCCCTCCTCTGCTGACGCCCCACCCACCCCCTCGAGCCGGCCCCCCTCCCCTCTGCCGCTCCCTCTCACCTTTCCTCCCTTCCCCCTCCTCTGCTGAGCCGGCCCCCCGTCCCCTCCGCCGCTCCCTCTCGCCCTTCCTCCCCTCCCCCCCTCCCCTGGCCACGGCACGCGCGCAGCCGCGGGCGTATGCAGCCTGCAGCCCTCTTTTTGCCAGGCCGGCGCCCACCCTGGGCGGCCGCCGGCTGTAAATACTCCATTGAAGCCCCAGTATACACATACCATCCGTAGAGACTCCACGGGGCCTCGGTGTGCACATGCCGTCCTTTTTGTGCAG